GTGTCTGTGTGGGAGTCCGGCGACATAGCCATTACGCTAACTGCTGGTTCCCCCCCCCAAATTTTTTTTGTATGTGAGACCAGCAGATGGTGTAATGGTTACATTGCTGGACTCCCATATAGTCAACCATGGTTCAAATCCCGGACCTAGCAGCTTAAAACTCACAGTAGGCACGTGTGCATGCGTGCGTGCGTGCGTGCTCAAAATCCTGAGATGAGAATGGAGGAGAAGAGACTGCAGCATGGCCATCCTCCCAGGGGTGATTCCTTGCTTTCTGTCTGTCTGTCTCTCTGGCAAGCTCACATGCCCTATGGCAAAAATCTAACAAAAAAAAAGTGAGGGAACGGAGTGTGTCAGGCCAGCAGATGCACGGAGGCTAAGGCAGCTGGATCCCATAGGGCCTCTGCGGAGCTGGAGTCCTGGACCCAGCAGCTTGAAAACACGCTGGGCACGGGTGCACACGCTCCCAAGATCCCAAGAAGAAAATGGAGGAGAAGGGACTGCGGCACGGCCATCCCTCCTGGGGTGCTTTCTCACTTCCTCTCACTTGCTTGCTCTCTAGTGAGCACATATATCCTATGGCAAAAAGGAAAATGAAATAGAATCTCGGTATTTCTAATTCTCCTCAGCACACATACCCGTTTCTTTCATGAGCGACAGCATGCCAACGGGGGCCCTTCTGCCACAGCCCGCGAGCTGGGCCCTCGCCCCCATGGGTCCACACCACCACTGCGCCACCACGTGGCCTTCAACACTTCTACCCTTGTCTGAGTGAGGACAGGCGATCTTCTATAAGCTTCGCCTCTTTCTTTCTTTGAGATTTTGCTATAGGACATGTGCACTCACCTGAGGGGCAAAAAGAAACAGGCAGAAAGCAAGAAATCGCCCCTCGGGAGATGGCCACACTGTAATCCCTTCTCCTCCATTCTCCTCTCAGGATCTTGGACACGCACACATACACACACACACACGACTAGTGTGTTTTGTCGCCGGGTCCGAGACCTGAACCACAGTCGATTGTGTGGGAGTCATCGACGTAACCATTATGCCATCTGCTGGTCCCAGGCTTCACTCTTTAAAAAAAAAAAAAAAAAAAAAAATGACACAGTGCTAGAGCTAATGCTTTACTGTTGTTTGTAAATCCCATGTAGCTGACCACGGTTCAAGTCTCGGACCCGGTGGCTTAAACTCACGCCGGGCGTGGGTTCATGGGTGCCCAAGATCCCGAAAGGAGAAGGGATTGCAGCGTGGCCATCTCTCTGGGGGTTGATTTCTCCCTTTCTGTCTCACTGTTTGTCTCTGTCTTTCTGGCGAGCGCACACACCCTATAGCAAAAACCTCTCCAAAAAAAAAAGTAAATAATGTGTTAGTGAAATTTTGGAAAGCTGAGAAATTTTGGAAAGCTACTGAAGCCTGAAAGCGGCTCGGATCACCTGCTTCCACCTGCACCTTCTGTCTCTCCAGGCTGGTCTGGAGCAAAAGCCCTGGGCTAGCCAAGATCACCACGGTCCTCCCAGCCCGGCCAGCTGGGGCATCCTCGCCAATGTGGGGCTGAGCCTCGGCAACCCCACACGCCCTACATCTGAGGTTGGGTGTTGTTAACCCTCAAACAGCTGCATGTTTGTAAATTGTTTTCACTTTTCTTGGCCATTGGTATCTCCATATGAAATCCAGAGTCAGCTTCACTCCTATAGAAAGGCTGGGTCTGATCCATGACTGTGCTCCATCTATAAAGGAGCACGAGAAAAGTCAACACCTTCTGAAAACAATTTTTTTTTTAGAGAGATTTTTGCTATAGGGCACGTGTGCTTACTGGAGAGACAGAAAGCAAGAAACCCCCAAGGGGGTTGACCATGTCACAATCCCTTCTCCTCCATTCTCCTCTTGGGATTTTGGGCACGCACGCATGCATGCACACACAAACGCCCGGCAAGATTTTAATGTGGCCAGGTCTGAGATTCAAGTCACAATCAACTACATGGGAGTCCAGCAGGGTAACCATTATGCCATCTGCTGGTCCCGAAAAACCAACATCTTAACATTAAATCTGTGTGTCCATGACCATGGTCTCTGTCCTCATCTAGTTATACTTTGTTTTAAAAATAGGGTAGTGTGTCCCCCACTGGGACCACGGGCACACACCACGTCCCTGGGCTCTTATGTTTTTAGACAGGGTATTGTTATGTTGCCCAGGCCACCCTCGAGCAACCCTCCTGCCTCAGCCTCCCCAGGCACGTACCAGCACACTCAGCCTTTGGAGGCCGGACCAGGAATCGAGTCCAGGCCTCACATGTGGCCCCAGTCTGAGAGAGGCACAGCACCTCAACAAAACATGCCACTGTGGCTGGGCCACGTAGTTTCTAGTGTCCAAATCGTGCACGCATTTAGTTAAATGCATCCCTTAGTACTTCGTTTTTTTTTTTTTCTGGCTCAACCTTTTAATATAAAAAGTTCACTGATGTATAAAAATGCACAAATGTGACAATGACAATATATGGAATTCTGTAATTGAAAGTCCCCTCAAGTGCACTGTGGTGCACACGTACCCACCCACACATACTCTGGCGTGGAAACATAAACTAATGCCAACCGGTGCTACCACGAAGTGCCAACACGTGTGCTCGCCCTCCCACCCACCACAGACCAGCATCTACTCCAACTCAGGAACGAAAGCGCAGCACCTCCCAGGAGCAGCAAGGCGGCGTCTCGCTCACGATGGACCAGCACGATAAACCCGGCAGAGCGCACCGTGTACTCAGCGTGAGGGCAGCCGTCACGACTCCCGTGGAGGGACGCGCCCTCAGCTTCTGCCCGCGCTGCCCTTGTAGCGGCCTCGGTCGTCCACTGCATCATCACCACCTGTGGTTAAGAACTTGATATGCCCATTTTGCTTTTCATGAATCTTCAGGACTCGGTGAGCTCTCGGAATCTCTCTCCTTTCTGTCCTAGAAACAAGCATTTCTCCCACCCGTGCAGGGTCTCCGACTTGCTGTGTTAGAAAGAGGAGAGCTGTAGAAGCGCAGGCTCCACTCCACGCTGCACCAAGCCCCCCGCGGCTGCACTCTCACCCCAGTGATTACCGTCAACCCGCCAGACCGTCCGTGCCGAGGGGACAGTCACTCCGAAACCAAGGACCTGGTGACAGAGCTGCCGCTAGTTCAGCCACCGCACATCATCCCGAAAGTCTAGAGACAGCATGGCCAGGTCGGCAAGCAGGACACTGGCAGAAGAGAGGGCACGATGTGACCTGCTGGTGGGACGGCGGGCGCAGGCTGGGCTCACATTCATACTTCATATTTTTGATGCTAACAAAATATAAAAGTTCCTTTTTTACTTTATTTTTTTCTTGTACACACTCACTGGACAGACAGAGACAGACCGAGAGCGTGAAATCATTACCCAGGAGGGTGGCCGACCCCCATCCCCTTGCCTGCACTCTCCCTTCAGGGTTTTGGGCACACACGCATGCGCACCCCATGTGAGTGTTCTTCTGGTCTGGGACTTGAACCAGGGTCGATTACGTGAGAGTCCAGTGACATCACCATTACGTAACTGCTAGCTCCTTCTTTACTTTGTTTTCTTTGCCCGAGATCTCACATGGCCAACTGTGGTTCGAGTTCTGAACCTGAAGGCTTGCTTTCTCACTCTCTCTGGTAAGTGTGCACGCACGCCCTGTAGCAAATTAAAGGATAATAATAATGATAAACACAAAAAAATAAACAAAAAACCGTTTTTGTGAGTGTCTGCAGTGTCTGTGCTCTCCATCTCATGGGCCTAATGGCGCCGCGTGCTCTCCCTGACTCACACCTCCAGATGCAGCACAGCCACACTCGGCACTTACGCTTTCCGTGCTTCCTTCTTACCAATCTGGCTAGAAGTTCGTCAATTTTATTAATCTCAAAAAGATACCTTTGCTTAATGAGTACTTTCTTTTCCTGCTTTGATTAATGCCCACTGCTTTTGTTTTGTTGTTTTGTTTTTTGTTTTGTTTTGTTTTTTGAGAGATTTTCACTGTAGGGCGCGTGCGCTCGCCAGACAGACAGAGAGAGACATAGAGACAGAAAGCGAGAAATCACCCCCCAGGGGGGATGGTCACGCCACAATCCCTTCTCCTCCATTCTCCTCTCGGGATCTTGGGCACGCACACACGCGCGCCCAGCGTGAGTTCTAAGCCACCAGGTCTGGGACACGAACCGCAGTCGACTACGTGGGAGTCCAGCGACACAGCCATTACGCTAACTGCTGGTTCCCTTGTTTTTTTTTTTTTAAGTGAAATTTTTGCTATAGGGCACATACATGCACTGGAGAGGCAGAGAGACAGAAAGCAAGAACAATCCCTTTTCCTCCATTCTCCCCTCGGGATTTTGGGTGCATACACACACATGCACCTGGCTCGAGTTTTAGGTCACCATGTCTGAGACTAGAACCACAGTCAACTATGTGAGAGTCCAGTGACATGACCGTAATGCCCTCTGCTGGCCCCCATCAATGTCCACTTTGACCTTCATTATTTCCTATTTTTTGCCTTGTGCTTATCAAAGACAGAGAGAGGGGACAACAGGGCGAAGCCATACCACAATCCCACTCCTCCACTGTGTCACGGTCTGGGGCACTCACAGACATGCACCTGTCATGTTTTGCAAGCTGCCAGGGCCAGGATTCAATCTACACATTGGGCATGTGGGATCTGGATCCCTTAACCCCGACACCACAGAACTGGTTGTCTTGTGCTTATTTTGGATTTAATTTGCTCTCTTTTTTGCTAGTTTCTTAAGGTAGAAGAAGAGTTTAGTGATCTGTACCCTTAAAAACAGTTTAGGTGTTTGGTGTTATAAAGCTTCCCTGAGTACAGCTGTCATGGACCTACATTCTGATGAGTGTAATTCCAATTTCACTCAGTTCAAAACACGTTCTAATTTCTCTCTTGGCTTCTTTGACACGAATTACACAGAAGTATGACACCCAATAACTAGTCATTTTCTGAATATTTTTACTGGTCTATAACTATTCCATTCTGTCAGTCTATTCTCTTATCTTATTCTAATGGGTTTACGGTTTTTGTTTGTTTTTTAAAGAAAGAATTTTGCTATAAAGGGCATGCACTTATAGGAGGCAGAAACTGAGAAATCGCTCCCCAAGGGGATGGCCACGCCACAATCTCTTCTCCATTCTCATCTCGGGATCTTGGACACGCATGCACACACGCCCGGCATGAGTTTAAGCCACCAGGTCCGGGACTCAAATCGCGGTCGACTCCATGGGAATCCTGTGACACAGCCATTACGCTAACTGTGAATGTGTGCGTGCGTGCCCAAGATCCCGAGAGGAGAATGGAGGAGAAGGGATTACGGCGTGGCCATCCGCTCTGGGAGGTGATTTCTCGCTTTCTGTCTCTCTGTCTCTGTCTTTCTGGCGAGCGCACGTGCCCTTTAAAAAAAAGATGTCTAGCAACTCAATGAAGCTTTTTTTGTTCATTTTATTAAAGTTTTATTTCTTCCATGAGAGACTGAGACAGAGACAGATAGGCATTTCCAGCAGGGTCCTTGTGCCACCCCACCCCTTCTCAGTCAACCGGGTGTGCTCAGGAGGTCCTGTGACCTCCTCCTAAGGGGCCTGGCTGTATCACACTGTGTTGCAACAGGCCCATCTGAGTCTGTGCAAGTGCTTCTCTAGTTTCACCATGGGTAGTCTCTACTGCTCTGTCCTCAAGTACACTCATCTCTCTGCAACGTTCAGCCCACCGTTGCTCCCATCCACTGTATCTTGCATTTGGACATTTTAGTTTGAACTCTAGTTTAATCTGAATCTTTATAAATACCTCCAAGTCGCTACTTAATGTGTTCAATTCTTTCCTCTGACTTTTTTGAACATATGGAATATAATAAATGCTTTTTTTTTTCAAGATTTATTTTTTAATTCCATTTGTTGATGTTATTTTTTAACTTGACCAGAGATAGAGAAAGGGAAAATGAGAAAGCAAGCTGCCAGGTCCAGGACTCAAGTTGCAGTTGGCCATATGGGAGTCCAGAGCTTTAACCGCCACGACACCTGTCGGCCCTAACAGTATGTGCTTTAATAACCCTGACTGCTAAATCTAACTCTATGTCACTTCCGGTTAATCTGTTTTGTTTTTAGAGAGTTTTTGATATAGGGCATGTGCGCTCACCAGACAGACAGAGACAGACAGAGAGACAGAAAGCGAGAAATTACCCCCCCAGGATGGCCACGCCGCAATCCCTTCTCCTCCATTCTCCTCTCGGGATCCTGGGCACGCACACACACGCGCCCAGTGTGAGTTTAAGCTACCAAGTTCGGGACTCAAACCGTGGTCCACTACATGGGAGTCCAGCGACATAGCCATTACGCCAACTCCTGGTCCCACTTCTGGTTAATTTGCAGTATGAGTTGTATTTTCCTGTTTCTTTCCATGCTTAATCATTTTTTTCTTGAAAAGTTTTTGCTATAAGGTGAGTGCTCTCGCCAGAAAGAGACAGAAAGCGAGAAATCACCCCCCTGGGGGGCATTCCTCTATTCTCCTCTCGGGATCTTGGGCATGCATGCAAGCATGCACACACACACGCACGCACATGCATCCAGCGTGAATTTAAGCCACTGGGTCTGGGTTTCAAGCTGCAGTTGGCTACATGGGAGTCCAGTGACACAGCCATTACGCCAACTGCTGGTCCCATTATTTATTTATTTTTTTTTTTAAGATTTTTTTTGTCATAGAACGAGTGCACTTGCTGGGGAAAAGAGAGAGACAGTGAGAGAGATTGTAACCCCCACTGTGACCCCTTTACCTCCTGTGCACACATCCGTACCTGGCATGTATTTCAAGCCAGCAGGCCCAGGACTTGAATTGCAGCTGCTCATGTGGGAGTCTAGCACCTTAACCACTATGCCACCTGCTGGCCCTGCTTAATAAGTTTAAGTTTATTTCTCCTCCCATGAGTCAGAGACGGAGAGTCAGCGCCCGAGCAGGGTCCCAGTGAGGCCACTCACCCTCAGCCTTAGCCAGCCCTGGGTCAGGGCATAGGCTTGATACCCAGGGAGGCCTCTCGACTTGGACCAAATACTGTTATACTCTGTATTCCTATAATATTCTTGAGCTTTGTTTTGGAATACAGTTACTTAGAAAGTAAAAGTGAGGCAAGCAGGTGGCTCGGAGGTTAGGGTGCAGGGTCCCTGACCACTTGTAGCTGGCATCACACAGGCACATAAGCATGCATGTTCCAAAACCCTGAGAGGAGAGTGGAGAAGGGATTCCGACAAGGCCACCCCCTTGCAGGGTGAGCTCTCACTTTCCTTCCTTTTGTCTCTCTCTGGTGAATGCAACACCCTATAGCAAAACCTTTAAAGAAAAAAAAAAGGAAGAAAGTGAAAATGTTACTTCTTGCTTCTAAGACCTGCTAGGGTAGAGCAGCATTTATCCCAGGGCTAATTACTCTCCTGTGTCTTGTGTTGTGTGGTTTTCCAGTCCGCCTCATGGCAACAGGGCCTCTTCCCAGCGTTTGACAAGCTCTGCACGCTGTCCTTCCAGCCCTGCGGGGTCCTGCCCTGTGCCTGGGCGTCCCGCACACACCGAGCGCCTGGGCTCTGCATGCCCACCTGCAGCTCTCCCTTTGCAGGCCCTTCCTGCAGGCACCAGCCCCACGTCCCCAGCTCCTATCTTGCAAGAAGCTCATCTAATGTGACACGCTGGGAAAGCCATCACCGTCACTTTACAGGAATCACTGCACTTTGTCACCTTGTGTACAAAGTTTGAAAACCATGGACTCACATATTTCACCCAACTTTCCCATTTCTTTGGGTGGGACAGTAAATCTGACCCATTACTCCATTTTGTCCATAAG